GTCTTTCTGCACTCCAAGCCCTGATCGGGTTTCTTCCCTATGTGGATACCTTGATGGGAACTAAGGTTGCTTCTATCACTGAAGCTCTTCCCACATTCCAGACATTTATATGATTTCTCTCCTGTGTTGCTACCCATATCTCTTCCCAGGGATGAATTATTATTATTATTAATTTATTGTTTAAATATTTCTTAAACTTCAAATTAAACATAAACATAAAATACATAAACCAAAATAAAAATCAACTGTGTTCCCCACCACCATAGTTGGGACCTCCTGCAGTAATCCTCTTCTTCCTCTATCTTTCTTCTTCTTCTTCCTTTATTGTCCTCTTCTCCATGAATACTTATAGAGATATTTGCTGTATTCTGAGTGTTTCTGTAGCTTCTTTCGATTATGGGTTTGCCAGTGAGCTTTTAGACTGGCATGACAGTTGAAGTTTTCCTTGCACACAGAGCATTCAAGCCTTCCATTGCTTTGCTCCATTTCTTCTTTGACTGAGATTTCCTGGAAAGTCCTCAAGGGGGAAGGGAAAGAGTCATTTCTTCTTTTCCAACTGGTTTCTGTTTTCCTTGTCTGTTGCTTCTCTTTCGATTATGGGTTTGCCAGTGAGCTTTTAGACTGGCATGACAGTTGAAGTTTTCCTTGCACACAGAGCATTCAAGCCTTCCATTGCTTTGCTCCATTTCTTCTTTGACTGAGATTTCCTGGAAAGTCCTCAAGGGGGAAGGGAAAGAGTCATTTCTTCTTTTCCAACTGGTTTCTGTTTTCCTTGTCTGTTGCTTCTCCTCTTTTTAGGGCCATTTTCCGAATATTCTTCATGCAGTTCGTCTTCAGTCTTCTTTTGTCTTGCATCAGGAGCTTATAAAGGAGAAAATCAAAACCCACATTTGCCAAAAACAAAATAAAGAATCTGAAATGGAAAAAACCCAACATAATGTAAAAGGATATTTATTAATGCAGTATGACTGCCTTATCCACTGATTCCCTTATCTACGGTCTGAAAATATTAAAAAGATTAAAATAAAATCCTAGAAATATGTATTTCTGAAACTGAAGTTACCAGAACAAGACACTAGATGAAGCCAGAAGCCACACTATATACAGTGGTGCCTCAACGTATGGACTTAATCCTTTATGGAATGAAGGTCGTAATTCAGAATGATCGTACGTTGAAGCACCATTTCCAATAGGAATACACTGGAATGTGATTAATCTGTTCTGGCTGAAAAAAAATGGAATGATGGTCGTAATTCAGAATGAAGCACCATTTCCAATAGGAATACATTGGAACGTGATTAATCTGTTCTGGCTGAAAAAAATTCCCCCCCAAAAAAAACAGACCAAAAAATACTTACCACTGCAAGCCCCATGGGGCACACAAAAACACACACAAAAATCACAGCACAGAAACATAATCCCCCAGCCCAAACCTACCCCGCAATGGTCGTAATTCAGAATGAAGCACCATTTCCAATAGGAATACATTGGAACGTGATTAATCTGTTCTGGCTGAAAAAAATTCCCCCCCAAAAAAAACAGACCAAAAAATACTTACCACTGCAAGCCCCATGGGGCACACAAAAACACACACAAAAATCACAGCACAGAAACATAATCCCCCAGCCCAAACCTACCCCGCAAAACCCTGTAAATGTACTAACTCAGAAGCAGAAAGCAGCACCAGGCACTCCCAAGCCTCCTCCAACGAACACACTCTAACCATTGGGACAAAAGAGCTATAAAGAAGCAGCCAATTCGCTGACCAACTGTAAGACCATTTGAATTCCCTGCCTTTCCCCCTGCCCTTTTCTGGTTGTAACTCGAAGCTCTGGTCGCAAATAGAAGCTAAATTTTGTGATCAGAGCTGGTCGTAATGCGAAATGGTCGTAAGGCGAGGCACCACTGTATACAGTCATCTTCGCTATAGAAACATATTTCCGCTATGTCATTACCAGAAGTGGCCACCAAGTGGAATCAGAGACCATGCTATGTACAACATTCACTATTAAAATTGGGTTCTCTACAGTGGATATAAAAAAATTTATACACCTGTTAAAATGTCAAGTGTCTGTGATGGAAAAAAATGGGACAAAGATAAATCATTTCAGAACTTTTCCTACCTTTCATGAGATACATGAACAAAAAACTGAAATCTTTTAGGGGGAGGGAAGTAAAAATAAAAAATTGAAATAATCCCTCACTTATCCCCACAGTGGCTCTCATACGGATTGATATTTTAAAATGCACAAAGTTCCAGTTTTCGGTAATTGAGCTGCAGGTAACAAAACAATTGTATTGATTATGTCTTTGCTTTCACCTGACAAATTACAGTGATGGCCTGCTTGACGAGGATAATCCGTTCCAGCAAAATCACTGTAGAATGAAATTGTCGTCAAGCAAAAGTAAAAAACCCATTGAAATGCATTCAAAACTGGTTCAATGCCTTCCAATGGGTGAAATACCTCAGCGTCCAGCAAAGATCCACCATAGGACGGCCATTTTCTGGTGGTTGTATAGTGAAGAATCCATCCTAAACTCAGCGGGGAGCCATTTTGCACAGCGGGCAGCCATTTTGAAAACCCAACGATCAGCTGTTTTGATCGTTGTTAAGCGGGAAATCGGTTCCCGAAGCAGGGAACTGATTGTGGTTAAATCAAAAAAACGATACAAACATCATACTCATCGTTAAGCAATTACCTCTTCTAACAAGGTAATCGTCAAGTGGGGCACCACTGTATTGGATTTTGTAATTCATTGTGCTTTTTCATTGCACTTATTTATAACATACTTGTAAGCTGCCTTGAGTCTTGAAAAGGAGGCAAATGGCCAACGAATAAAATAAACACAATAAATAAATGTATAATCATTTTTATTGTTACTTTTATTACAGGTTACTCTTCAAAGTTTCCTTTACACTACGTTTCATGTTCCAGGTCATTTACAAACATCAAGATAAGAGATTTAATAAACAATCAAATGGAAAACAATGTCAGCTGTAAACCCATTAAAATCAGTTGAGTCGATAAAGCAGGGAACTGGAATCATAACAACCAATATTAATGATCACTATCCTGCTCTTTTCTTTCGGGGCCTTGTAGAATCAACAGGATTTTGTCTAGAAAACAGGCTTTTCTAGCTACACAGAAGCCCATCCAGCTGCCATAATGATGCAATGGCTGAAGCCCTGTAGCTTAGCGGAGGAAGTCACAACCAGAGGAGGCCTGTTTGAATCACAGCAACTGAGGAAGGAGTGCACTTGCCAGTCTCCACAAGTGTCAGTGGGCCTACTCTAAGGTTACCTTCAAGGCTACGCAATAGGATTGCAAACAATTTACAGCGATCCTCCCAGCAGGACCAGAATGAGTAGGGGACTTTTTCAAAACCAAAGGCAAGCTTCAAGCTGCTGGGGTTCTCCTTTTTGTGTTGTTATGCAATTGGGAGCATCCAGGAGGCAGGAAAGAAAGCAAGGAGTGCAGGAGGAAAGGACCCCTGCATCCCCAGTCAATTTAAGGAGGAGCAAAAAAAGCAGGTTCTAGGCAAGAGAAGCCAGGACAGGCCTGACCCTCCAAAGGGAGCGTCTCCCTGTTTCCCACAGGCACAGAGAGGATGGCCACATATCTTAGGGGCATATATAAAATGGGAGGGGGGGTGTTTGCACCGCTAGCTGAAAAAGAGTCGCTTCTGGGGGTGAGAAAGCAAAACTCTCATCCCAGGGCCGGTTCTTTGGGGAAGTAGGGTGCAAAGGGGGAAAAGGGCCTTTTGGGGTGTGGGGAGAAGGCTGGAGGGCTAATGTTAGAAAGGGAACCGCATTTCCATGATTTTCTTTTGTTTGCTTTTTGGTTTGAAGAGACACTTGTCCAGCAGGCCAAGGCAAACAGGCAGTCGCGAAACGAGCAAAATCAGGGAGCTCGTCAGAGGACAAATGGGATTTTTCTTCAGTGTGAAAGAGATTGTCACTCTCGAATTGGCCTTCTAAGCCACACCAGACGCTGTTCCAAGACCTCCGTATAGAGCATGATAACATACTGTAGTCTCTCGAGACTGAAGGATGCCTACAGAGACAGAGAGCTTTTTGGTGTAGAAAAAAGGTCAGTGAAGGGGAAAAGAGGACAATCCACGACAGTTGTTAGAAAATCAGATTTTACCCCAATGTTTCCTTGGAACTACAAAAATCTGTTCTCGTTCTTTGTTTCTAGAGGAAACACAATTTCATCTTTCCCTGATGCAATGTCTGGAGGCAGCCCGGCCAGGTTCTCACCGGGGTGAATGTTTCGATGGGAAATCAGATGCCTCTCCTTCTTCAACATCTCGTGACGCTCCAAACATTTAAACTTTTCTGTCTCTCTCTCTCTGTGGCTTCTTTGATGAGAAGTGAGTTGTGCCCTCTGCCTGAAGCTCTTCCCACATTCCAAGCACGCAAACAGTTTGTCCCCCGTGTGGATTCTCATGTGGTTTTTCAGGGTTATGCCATGGCCAAAGCTCTTTCCACATTCTGAGCACTGAAATGGTTTCTCCCCGGTATGGATCCGCACATGACGAGCCAGGCATGACCTCTGCCTGAAGCTCTTCCCACATTCCAAGCATGCAAATGGTTTCTCCCCTGTGTGGATCCTCATATGGCGAACCAGGTGTGTGCTGTGACTGAAGCACTTTCCACAGACCACACATTTAAACCGTTTTTCTCCACTATGGAGTTTCTGATGAAACGAAAGAGTTGAGCTGTGACGGAAGGTCTTTCCACATTCTGAGCACTTAAATGGTTTCTCCCCTGTGTGGATCCTCAAATGCCGATCCAGGTGATCCCTGCGACTGAAACTATTTCCACATTCCAGGCATTTAAAAGGCTTCTCCCCTGTGTGGATCCTCAGATGACGAGCCAGGTATGTGTTGTGACTGAAGCTCTTTCCACACTCTACACATTTAAA